CTCAGAGTCCCCTGACAGACACCGCCATCGATGCTGCCACGTTGCCCTCAGACCTGCCCTTAGACCCAGAGAGCCCAGAAGACGCTGCAGCAAACAAGTTCCGGATCAAATCCCCCTTTCTGGAGCAGCCTGCAGTGGGCGCCGGGGAGAGGCCTCCCTCCCGGCTGGATGTGCCTCTCTCTCAGGCCAGTTGTGCTGTAAGCCCAGCCAGACCCTCATCCGCAAGTCGCAGATGAGGCACGTGGGCAGCCGAGGGGGGCTGTCGGAGAGAAGCCACCCCAGGAGTTTTCATTTCAGGAGGACTGCCAGTTTCCACGAAACCAAGCAGGCCCGGCCGTTCAGGGAGAGGAGCATGTCCACGCTGACGCCCCGGCAGGCCCCGGCCTACAGTGCGAGGACGCGGCCCTGGGACCAGGCCGAAGGAGATTTAGACCTCAGAGTCGAGGTGCTGCCCTATTTCCTGAGACCGGGACCATTTCCAAGGAGCAAGTGGAACCAGTGCTCCATTAAGCTCTCTCCCTAAATCCTGCACCTTCAGGCAGCCCATGAGGAAACCAGACCTAGGGTTTCGTCAGGCAGGATTGGTGGCGGGAGGTGAGAGAGCAGAGCCTCCCAGAGCTCGGAGGGGCCCGTCCCCCAGTCAAAGGAGTGTCTCAAGGAAGCAGCCTTCACCCACTGCTCCCAAAGATAGCTACCACAGGGTGAGCCCTCTGAGCCCTCCTCAATGTAGAAAAGACAGGTGTCAGAGCTTCCCGGCTCACCCGGAGTTCGCCTTCTATGACAACACGTCATTCGGCCTCACCGAGGCCGAGCAGAGGATGCTAGACCTCCCCGGATATTTTGGGTCAAACGAGGAGGATGAAACCACAAGTACACTCAGCATGGAGAAGCTGGTCATCTAGTCCAAGCTCAGCCTGAGACTTTACACACTGGTGTCCTTTGCCCAGCTCGTGTTATCAGCTGCTCGTGTTATTCTGTGGATTGTTTCGTTTAACTGTACAGTAGGACAGAATGTAGGCAGGAAGTAACGTGTGTGTGTATGCATTGTAATTCATAAGAAAGAGGTTATTTATCCTGAATTTTTCCCTTTATTATCCTATTTCTATTGGTTTATTACTAATAACTACAATAATAAAATTTGAACGAGTGAAATAGGGCTTGGTCTCTCATGTGGATATGAAAGATGACAGAAGGTGATTTGTGAGTGGGAAATGCTGTGAACACTTCTTCGATGGTTTCCAACTTGAAACAAATTTGGGAGTCTCAATTGTAAAAAGGGCTTGAACAAAGTGAACTTGCTAACCCAACTCTGACTTCTAATTTATTGTTATAAATACTTAAGAATGTGACACCTACAGGGGCATTATTGAACATGTTTTGCTAATTAAGTCAGTTCTGACTATTATGTAGTCGGCTACCTGGACATGGTAATACTGCGGGATATTCCAGAAGAACTTTCAGGCCAGAGTTGGGTGATAGCTTATGTTTTTTTTTTATTCAACCAAGAGTTCTGGTGACTTGTCACAAAATTATGAGTTAATTCTGCTTTGAAGAAATAATATAAGAAGCCGATTGTTCAGGTACTGAATCAAATGAAGACCTATCCATACATCCATCATTGTTCTGAGCAAAAAGTAAACATTTTGGAAAGGGAGGTTGTTGGGTGTTTCCTTCCCACGTCCCGCGTGGGTCAGGGTTCAGGAACTGGAAGCAGAGCCGCAAACAAATGAAAATGAAAAGACAAGAGATAATTTGGAAATGTTGGGGGACCAGGCGGGCAAGTCCAACTGAAGGGGAAGGACTTCCACCCGTGCTTAGGCCTCACCAAGCTTTATTGATCTGGGATGCACTCATAGTATAGCCCTTAGGCAGGGGACCCCCCATTAACAGGCAGACTAGCCCCTCAGCAAGGATTTACATAATAAATGGGGGAGTAGTTTCAGCTACCACTATCTGGACAAACAGAGGTGGCGCCCAGCTCCGACCTTTGCTAGGGCTTCAAAGGCACCCAGCCTTGGGGGGCGGGGGGGTTCTCTGTCTACACTTATCAGATAGTGAAGGCAATAAACAGTTTCCCAAAGAGTTATTGTGTCCTGAAAGAGCATCAGCGGGAGCATGAGCAGTGGGTGCTGTCCACCACCCTGCCTACATCAGCCTGGCTGCCAAGACCCCAGGGGCTGTCTGAAACTGGATGTGTGTGTTTCTGAAGATAATGCTATCATATTAATCAGAAAGTATGTGAATTAATCTCAGGTATATGGAAAGTAGGTGGACTAGATTATGCTCTTATGGCTTAATCTTTTTTAATTGGAAGATAGAGTAAAGAGGAAAGTCTTTTAGAAATTTAGAATCACTTTTATTTTCTGATTCAATCTGCCTGTCACATTTTACAGATGAATTTGAGGCTCAAGCAGGGGAATTCACTCCTGCAGAGTTGGATGAACATGGACTCATTTTTACTCTAATTACTAAACTCTGTGCTCTACCACCACAGCCTTTGCAAGTCTTCTCTAACAGTGGCAACTTCAGGAAAAAGCTGGCCCTTTGGCAGGAGGAGGACACAGAGAGATGCCTTTACTAGTTTTTCCCAAAGAAAGGAAGCTTTCTGCTGCTTGATGTTAGAACTAGTTTTGCAACTTGCTTTGTTTGGAGGTGAGGGCTACACAAAAGAACCTAAAGGTTGGGCTCCTTCATTGGAAGCTGCCATCAGGTACCACGTGGGCACTCTGCAGTAGGGTGTATTCTGCAAGAGCTATCTCAGCCCTTGAACCTAAGCCTTATCTGCATACACTTGAGTAGCTGCACTTTCCTTATTGTTCCCCATGACCTCTCTAGCTGCCGCACCCACCCTGCCTGTTAGCCTGTTTTCCTTCTTCCTCTTCGTGTTTATCAGGATGTCAGCCTGCTGGAGAGATTTTGGAGACCATTGGAGAGCGCGGAATTAGATGGGACACAAAAAAAAAATCACGAATGCAAATACTGTATTTTTTAAAGTTTCTCTTCTGTTTGTTGTATTAGTGCTTCATTTGTGCCATTATTATTGAAAATTAAAACATACTTCCTTTTGGCAATGCTTTAATAATAACTATCTACCTTTCAGGAACAGGAGGAGTAGATTATTCAGTGGTGTCTGACAGCTGGTATGTGCTGATACAGAAAAGAGGAAACCAAACTTTTTAATTTCCATTTTCTTTGTTTATCATACTAGAACGCTTTGTTCTCTTTCCAAGTTCACAGGTTTGTTGCCATCCTGTGAGGACAGAGGGTACATACTCACTTATTTCAGACCTCAGTGAATTTCTCTACAGTGTCAGACCAAAATATCCACAAGGAATGTGAAGAGTCAAGAAAAGCACTATGAACAGAAGGATTTTCTGTTAAATTATGTTCTTCCACAGTATTTATTTGTCTAAGCTAATATCACAGTTGCCTAATACCAGCATATACCACATTCACCATCTATCTAGTCCAGTGTTCTGTGCTTCTTGCTAAGAGTCAGTCTCTACATTTCATAGTTAAGTTAATTTGGCCTCACCTCTAAGAAACAGAAAAGTAGATGCTTCAGCATTGTCTTTGGTGGATAAGTGCTAACGTTCATTAGAAATAATCTTATATTCTGCACCATGTGTCCCTAGGTCCTAACCCCAGTGGCTGCCATTAGGTAGGAGCTCAATAAAGATCTATGGGACAAAAACGAGCTACTCCAAAGCCCTCAAACTATATTTGTGGTTGAACTAGAACAATTCTAATACTTTAAATATTAAACCATTGTGAATAGGATGTGTTCCTACGTGATACTGTGGAATTTTAGTTTCTAGAAGTCCCCCAGAATGAAAGCCTCACTTTTGGGGATATTACCCTCATTGAAGAAGAAAGTATCTCTGGAGCCTATTGTAGTGTCTATACACAGTAGTTGCTTAATAAGTATTGGATGTTTGAGAAAGTGGCATCCAAGTGAATGGTGTCCCCTACCTTTCTAGTGAGTCTCTTCTATTCACTCCACTACTCTGGAGTCTGCACCACCTCTTTGGGGCAATTGCTCCCCAATTGTGACTTCTAAAGTGGATTTGATAGTGTCCAGAGCATTCAGTATGCCAAGCCCTTGCCACCACTACCTGAATGCTAATCCAGCCCTTCCTATCAATTTTTGCTCCTCAAGCACTAGTATACTTCATCCTGACCCACAAAATATAAAACTGCTACTACTTTGATGATTTCTCATTTTATTCTAGATATGTAACTTGTAAAGCGACATTGTACAGTTTGTAGTCTGTGCAGTCTCTGAGTCATTTTTATATACAAATGACACTTTAAATATTATAGTATTATAGAAACATAGTATTATAATACTATAAATTTATACCATCTGAGTATACACTCAGGTCATACCAGCTGAGTCATGATTTGGACAAAAATAAGTAGTTTGGCACAGTCAAAAGCATACAAGTTGAATCCTGGCCCTTCTCTTTCTAGCTGTGTGATCTTAGGCAAGTCATTTAATCACATGAGCCTCCATTTTTCAGATGTAAAATGGGATAACCCCTGCTCCTATTATTGGTTTAGGGTGGGGACTTAAGCATACATAATTATTTCCTCTCCCCCCTAGGACTCAGTTAAAATTATAGAAAAGGTACAAGATCAAAAAGTTTAGAAGACAAAAGGATAAGTGATTTCAATGAATTTCTTTAAAAAAGTATTTTTATTGATTTCAGAGAGGAAGGGAGAGGGAGAGAGAGATAGAAACATCAATGATGAGCCCTAGCTGGTTTGGCTCAGTGGATAGAATGTTGGCCTGCAGACTGAAGGGTCCCAGGTTCAATTCTGGTCAAAGGCACATGCCCAGGTTGCTGGCTCAATCCCCAGTGTGTGTGTGTTGGGGGGGGGGGGGGCAGGGAGGCAGCTGATCAATGATTCTCATCATTGATGTTTCTATTTCTCCCTTTCCCTTCCTCTCTGAAATCAATAAAACTATATTAAAAACAAAAAAGAAACATCAATGATGAAAATCATCAATCGGCTGCCTCCTGCAAACCCCCTAGTGAGTATCGAGCCCACAACCCAGGCATGTGCCCCTGACCGGAATCGAACCCAAGACCCTTCCATCCACAGGCTGACGCTCTATCCACTGAACCAATGAATTTCTGTAAGACAAAGTGCATGGGAGAACACCAAGTGGAAGAAATTATAGGTCAGGTTATGCTTGGAGGGTCAGAGAAGATGAGGGAGCCTCCCTATGTGGTAGAACCGTGCAGAGGTTGGGGATTTTAGGTTGCTAGAATGAAGAGAAGACAAAGACAGTGAAGATCTGTATATGGAATGGTCACCCTTCATCACTGCTCCTCAACTCTGGTGCCAAGAACTCCCTGCAACTATGTGTTCAACCAAACACAAAAGCAAAACTAACCAACCAACCAGGAAATGACCAGAGGGGACTTTTCTAAAAACAGTGAAGGATCTTTCTGAGGAAACTTGGGCAGTTGGAGTTGTCATTGGTATCCTAGTGCAAAGCCCTTGCAGTGGTTCTCAACCTTCCTAATGCCGCAACCCTTTAATACAGTTCCTCATGTTGTGGTGACCCCCAACCATAAAATTATTTTCGTTGCTAATTCATGACTGTAATTTTGCTACTGTTATGAATTGTAATGTAAATATCTGATATGCTATATGTGTTTTCCGATGGTCGCGACCCACAGGTTGAGAACCGCTGCTAGAGCAATGATCAGATTTCCGACTATTCACCCTAAATGGAAGCCTGCCAATCAGCCAGTTCCAATCATGGTTTAGAGTTCTAGTCGGCCTTTCTCCTGTCTCATTTTTAAGAATAGCCTGACAACTGAGAATCTCCAAACATTTGAGAAAGCCTACAGTATGATGAAGAAAGATAAGTAGAGAAAAACTGACCCCAGAGGAAACATATAATCTAGGAAATTCAAGAAAAATTGTAAAAAACTCTGCAAAACTAATTATAAAGAATGTTCTTATTTATTAAAGAAGAACATGATGCTGTTAAAAAAAATCAGAAAATGGGAAGGAACCCTAGGATATGAAATATTTAATAGGAGATTGCAAGCTAAATTAGAGAAAATCTCCCCAAACCTGGAGCAAAAATATGTAAAATATGAGAGTATCACACACACACACACACACACACA